ATTTTATGATATAGTATAATGTAGGAATAGTAGAAATAAGGTGCAGAATGAATGTAATGCACTTGAATCATCCTGCACCACCGCTCCACTCCTCCATCCTGTGCAAAACTTGTGTTCCATACATCTGTTCCTTGGTGCCAGGAATGGATGGGACTATTTAATTCCTTTATAATAAATGTTATCTTTGATATATGTGGGTATATATACCTTTTGCATTTTGCTCTTAACAATTGAGACAGTTCTTACATCCATGTGATTCATCTATTAGTGATTTTCTGTTTTAATTTCTTAGTCTTTATTTTTATAGTGCTATAGTTTTATAACATACATTAGTGTCAATAATGGTAGTTATTGTTACTCTTAAAATTTAGAAGTTCTTTGGGTGATTCCATATACAAGGAAACCTTGGTTTGTGAGCATAATTTGTTCTGGAAACATGCTTGTCATTCAAAGCACTTGTATATCAAAGCAGATTTCCCCACAAGAAATAATAGAAACTCAAATGATTCGTTCCACAATCCCCAAAATACTGTTTATGTAATAATGAGTACAGGGCTAGGGATATAGCTCAGTGGTGCAGCACCTACTTGGCAAGTGCAAAGTCCTGAGTTCGATTTCAGGTACCACCCCATAAAAGATAAAATGTAAATAAATAAAAGTAAAAGTGATTACAATACTCTCATATAATATAAAATATGAAGAAAACTAAATTAACCTGCACTTATCTTTGAAAACTTTCATGGCTGGTTAAAGAAGATGGGAGTAGAGGGTTTTGTGTGAGACACCTTTCATTATCACTAACAGAATCACTGCTGTTTATTAGCTCAGTGGAATCTTTTTCGTTTTGTGCAACTTTAATGAGGAACCTATCCAATGGCACTTGCTTTTGACTCCTTTGGAAAGTTTTGCAGAAATTCGACTTTGCACTGGAGTTAAACAGATTCATCACTCACCCTGCTACAGCTTTAGGCAGGTGGTGCTTCTCTACAATATTTTACACTATTTTGCACATTTTACACATCTTGCTAATCTCGTTTGAAGTGAGGAAATCCTCTGCCTTTTTCTCCTTCTCTGCAGAAGAGATCTCCTCCATAACCTCTTGATTTCAGGAGTTGATCATCCATAACCCAAAAGTGAGAGAGAGACAGAGATGGGTCATTGGCTCCGTTGTGAGCATGTGCTGTTCAGCATCACATACTGCTCATACTGCAAGATGCTGCTCGTTCATCAGGTTAAAATTTATTAGAGGTATTTGTTACTTGCAACTGATGGTTTTACTGTATGTCTTTAACTTCCTAGATAATTTTTGTTTTTCGTGTTTTGGTACCATCTACTAAAATGAAAGCTTTAAAAAAATTACAAAGAAAGCTTGTTGAATTTGCTACAATAGGATGGGTGTTATTATGGGTGTCAAATGTGTACCAATAAAATTAATTTTTAAAAAAGCTTGTTGAAAACTGTAGTATATTATAGATTACATTTGTGTACAGTGGTCTTTATCACAATGAGTTTTGCTATCTGCATTCATTCTATATGTTACGAATTTTTTGTGCCTCTGTAAATTTTTGTTTTCTCACAATTTCAACATGTTTTCTTTGCAACACATGTTTACATGTGCTGTACCATGTGTACATGACATCTGTATAAAAGGGGCATTTAATACTAGCTGTAAGACTGGACAAAGGCCTAAAATATGAACGGTCAGTATAAAGACCTCGAATATGGCTGGTCCCCACATGCTTTATTACTTATTTTTCGGGGTACACCTCCTCATGCCCCATCCCCTGGCTTTCTATTCTTTGTTTTTGTTACTATAGCTCTGTAGTATATCATGCGCCATTTTTCTCTCCCAAATTACTGTGGCTCATGTTGTGCTCATATCCAGGAGGAGATTTCAGGTGAATTTCCGGGGCTTAGTTTTGTGAGGAGCGGAATCTCCCTTCCATTAAAGTTCTTGAAAAGTGTGTACATTTTCTCAAAAATGAGTAGTAGATGAGCTAATGAGTTTCAGTTTCTTTTTTTTAAACATTCCTGACAATCTGTCCTCTATCCCTATCTGGACATTGGAGATTAATACGAAATCCTGTAGGACAGTACTTGTCAGATCCTATACACGTTCACATGTGACTTACTGTTTTGTGTGGTTCTTTCTTAACGTGGAAATGTCAATGAACTGGTGTATGTGTTACCTAAAAGGGGAGATAGTTTGACTTTTCCTCTGGAGAGAGGAAATGCAGCATACCTTACAAGGTTGATATCTCCTTCAGACATGAAAACTGAGTTTCTTTCATTATCTTCACTGGACTCTTTACACGGGAAACTTTCTTATTTAAAACTGTGTGAACAAAGATAAGCGGTAGAGAGGCCCTTGTAAACTTCCCCCAACCTCAGGCCGCTGCAGGGAGGACCTTGAAGCCGTGTGCTCTGAGGTCTCCACGGGCAGATTCTAGTGCAGCTTTGGTTACAGGACTCCTCTGTCCTGAGGGGGATCCCCAGCGAAGAGAAGAAGGAAGAAATAGCTTTTTCTCAGGTAAATGTGTTGCAGGACAGGGCCTTCAGACCCTTAGAATGAGCACAGCGGACTACTCTGGCTTTCATCCTCTTGCTTAGCAGAGGTTTTTCCCAGCCAGCTTATTTACATTTGTTCTTAGGATACTGAGTTAACTCCTCTACATTCTCCTGTACATTCGGAGCCTTCCCTCCCTTCTTCCATTTCGGTCTTTTGCTACCACACACAGTTCTTGGGCTGAATAACTAACCTTCGGTATCGGAAATGATTTCTTTCTGAGAATGAGCCTGGAAGAGGTTGGTATCTGGACACCCGCTGAGGGTTGGAAGGACCTTTGAATATCGCTGCAGGAAGGAAACGCGCAGTGTTTTTCTTCCTTCCCGATGATGCTCCCGGACAGCTGGGTTCACACAGGAATGAACGCGATTCACATTTAAACAGGACGAGTGTTCATTTGCCCAGAATAACTCGGGAAGTTCTGAAAAGGGAAGAAATCACAAGTTATTCTCTCTGCTTTCACGGACTGTAGGAGACATGCACAGCTGGAACTTTACGTGACGCTCTTTACCAGGAGATTGAGATCATGCTTCTCTTTTTTGTTTGGTTTTAGCCACTAACATCACAGCATTTCTGTGCACTCACACTGAATCCCCGTTTGTCCTCTTATGGCTGATTTAACTTTGTTCTCTTGGTTAAAATGCTGTCAGCCAGATTCTGCAGTATAAAGCTAACTGGTTTCTTCTTTATCAGTAGTTAATAACCTGCGTGAATCGTCATTTAATGTGGAAGCTATTTTCTTTTAAACTTCTCTTGTAGTGTGCTTCTGACGGTGCAGGCTCTTACATTGGTTTATTGAAGATACTGGTGCATTACTTAGTCTTTAAGTTTTAATTTTATCCCACTTTCATGGCACCTACACCTCTTTATTACTTCCTATTATATTCAGCAAAAGAAAATAAGAAAAACATATTTCACAGAGTCTTAAATTTCAGAATTATAACTCAAATCATAAATGAAAGGAAAAAGGTTCAGTAAACCATCAAACTTAAAATGTATCTTTTTTTTTTTTTTTTTTTTTTTTTTTTTTGAGACAGGGTCTCACAATGTAGTTTAGACTGGCCTTCAACTCACTAAGTAGCCCAGGCTAGCCTCGCACTCATGGTGATCCTCCTGCCTCCACCTCCTGAGTGCTGAGCTGATATATGCCACCATGCCCAGCTACAGTGTAGCTTTTATTTTAGCTTCTGTCCTTGAATTTAGTGTCTTTATAGTGTCTCAATACAGCCTCATACCCAAATAAACTTTAAAGCTTCATGTAATTGACTATATTTCTGTATTTCATTGACATCAAAGATCCTGTTTTTATTGTATGGTTAACATTTTATGTATGCATAAAACAAATAACACTTGATCAATTTTGTATCACTACCATGTTATTATGTTTCCATTCTTCATCCCAGTTATGAAGGCCCGGAAGAACCTTTTATCACTGACATGTTCTTCTGGACTGTGTGTTCCTTTTATAAAATAAATTTGTGTATATAACTATGGCTCTATCATTTACAGGATGTTTAACAAAACATTGTCGTCAAAGAGGAAAAACGGGCCTGGGGATTTAGCTCAGTGGCACAGCACCTGCCTGGCAAGTGCAAGGTCCTGAGTTCAATTCCTGGTAGCCACCAGAAAAAAAAAAAGAAAAAATGATGTTGTTACTATTCTTACAGATTTTCTTGTATCTCTGCATTGTTATGAGAAAAAATAGAATTCTGACTGTTATGTTCAAAAACATTGTTGTACTCCTTGTGTTATTAAATCCTATACATTTCGTAAGGTTCAGGTACACTTACTTAAGAATTCTTACATGATGCTCTGCCTCTTTACCTGTTCAAGAGTGTCTTCCAGACCACTGACCTTGCATTGCTATTGAGCTTGCTGTGTATTCAGAAATTCAAGCCCCACCCCAGAGCAATCCAACCTGCATTTAATAATATCTCTTAAGTCTGGGCTGTAGCAATAAAATTTGGAAATACCTTTCTGATTCACCATGACTTTTCCACCTGAGTAATAGACATAGATTATCTTGTTTAATATAAATACCACACTAAAAAGTGTATTATCTTGCATCGGAGCCTTAAGTTTACTTTATATTTTCTTAAAAGTGTCGTGTCTACCCTGGTTTCAAGGGTCTTTTATATACACTCTACTGAGGTTTAGGTACTATCTTAGAGAACATGACTGGGTTTTTAAAGTGTTTTATTGAATAATTAGTGTCTCATATTTGTGTCAGAAGCCAATCTCTCATTTCACATTGGGTTAAATGAAGAGCTCTGTCAGTGACTGCATGGTCAGTGTGCTATTCTCTTCTTTCTTTTTTTTTTCAGGCGCTGTTGACATTCAGAGACGTGGTCATTAATTTCTCTCTGGAGGAGTGGGAATGCCTGGACCCTGTTCAGAGAACTCTGTATAGGGATGTGATGTTAGAGAACTACAGAAACATTTCCTCCTTGGGTGAGAAGATTCCCTGCAGAGGTCCTGATTCACTATTGACATTTAATTTCCTTCTCTTTGGAACCATTTCTTGGGAGCTTCTGCTTTTAGTAAATGAATTTTAGATTCCAGTTCTCAAAGAAAATAGAAGTTGCTTGATACAGACAGGATGTTCATGCTGTTCATTTTGGTGTATAGCCTGCCCCATTTCTTGAGGTGTCATGTACCCCTTATGCTAGATTAGTGGTCATTTTGCAAGTTCACTGGCACAACATGTTGTGACCTATATCTTAAAGGCCATTCTCTGTCCCATGGCTTTGATTTAGTAGTAGTTGAAAGTTGAGCTCAGGATGTCAAAGTGAAATGCTTGCTGTATAATCTAATAGCTCTTTTGGAAAACAGCATTTAGAGAAATAATTTTCTAGAATTTTTCATACTGTCTTTCCTTTTCTCCTGAGTACAGCAGGAGGAGAAGCATTTTAATAGTTGTTGGAGAATCTCAACTTGTGTCATGTTCCATTTGGTATAAAACAGGTCTCGCTGTCTCTAAGCCCCATCTGATCATTTGTTTGGAGCAAAGCAAAGATCCTTGGACTTTACAGACACAAAAGAGAGCAGCCACACCTCCAGGTAGGAAGGAGTGGGTGAAGCAGCACACACAAGCATTTTTAATGTTTCTTAGTACATATATGCTGCACATAATTACATTCATCATGGGGAGGTGCTTCGTGGGCAGTAACACAATTTTTCATTTCCTCTTGCCCTTTTCTTTCCACCCCAGTCCACCCTGCATCCTCATTTTCCATCTGTAAGAGACCTGTCTCCCTATTTCCTTTGTCTATTGTCCTTGTCCTATTGTCTTTCGTTTTGCTCTTTGAACTATTTAAGGTAGCTCTGAGTACATCAGTTCTGCCTTCTAGAGCTGTTATTAATGTTTTTCTTTCTTTCTTTTTTTCTTCTATGGCTTCTTATAATTCAACCTATTGATATTTCATTTGTTTCCCATTGATGCCCTTTGGAGCAGCTTTTGGGAGGTCAGGAGTTTGGCGTGCATTTATCACCTTGTTGGCCCATATTTTGATGTGCTAAGGCTTCAGGATTAATTAGGCAGCTTTGCTGCTGATTTAGAGATCTGTTTAGTTGCTATGTAAATTCCAGTGATGCAATCTTGGCTTTGATTACATTTGGATATTTATCTACCTCTAAGCCTACTTAGTTTATAATAGTATCAGACACAATCATTGATCCTTACCAGTTATATATCATCAGATGGATCCAACCATAGGTAATCATGTGTTAAAAGGTTTTAACAACTTCAACCTCAAACAGACTAATGCCTCAGACAGACTAATGTAGCATTACTAACAAGTACGTTGAGGTGTAGATGGAGGGGAAAGAAAAAAGGAAATAAAAGAGAAAGTCAGTAGATGAGAAACAGTTGAAATCTGTTGGAATTATTATTGTTGGAGTGAAGGGCTGGTGTGCAGGCTTGAGAGAATGTTTGTGGAAGAAGATGAAGGGACCCGGGCGGTGTACTTGGAGGTTAAGGGAACTGTGAAAAGGTCAGACTAGATTGGCTTGAGTTTGGAGCCTGTAGGTACAGTTTTGGTGAGCGCTGCCCTGACTTGCCCTGGAAGATACTATGAAGCCGAAAGCACTGCTTCATTCTTACTGTCACCTACTGTATTTGCCAGATGAATGGAGGGAGGAAGAGAGAAAAAGGGATGAGAAGAGAAGAGGATGGATAAAAAAGAGTGCAAGAAAAGAGAAGATGCACAAAAGAAACTCATGGGTTGCAAAAATACACAGTCAAAGCATCCTCACAGTTGCATTTGAGGTGCAGGCTTGAGTTCACTCCCAGGTCTCTGACACGCACGCACACATGCCACCCCACCCTGTGGCTTGCTGTGTCCTGTGTGAGCGGGAGTCTTGTCCATCCAGAGGGCCGCACCCCGGGAACAGTTGCTGTGACCCTTTGCCTTTAGCCCCAGGTCCTGCCACCTCAGTCATTCAGGAAGAGAAGGGAGTGGTGCAGCTGCCACCAGTGTCCACTCCTCCCTGACTTCCGCCTAGTTCTCCTTAGTCCCCACTCCTTTCCCTGCCTGGCAAATCCTGCAGTTGCCTTTACAGTTCCCCACCACCACCACCATCTGCTTAGAGCACCATTCTGTCTTCTGCCATGGCCCTCTCTCATTGACTGTCCCCACAGCATCGCTCCCCACTGACAAACTTGGTGGCCCCTCGGCATCCTGCAACAGGTGTTTGGGGTTCCTGCAGTGATGCACATGGGTGATGGGCTACCACAAGTGTCCTGTGGTCACAGCACTGCTAATATTTGGGGGCGATGGACAGTGTTTGTTTGGGGAGCTGTCTGATCTCCTCTCCCCTGTTCCTTGTAGTAGTGCTGGCTCACACAGTTCCACAAATCTCAGATCAGGTCCTGCATCAGGGCAGTGTGTTGGTTTGCAACTTCCCAGCACCTACAGAGTTTCTCTGTACAGTGTTCACCATTGTCACTGTCTGCTGTGCTGGTTGGTGAATGTCTCATCCGCTGTGTTCCTCCCCCTGGTGGGAGTAGAAGGGCTGGGAGCTGTTGCAGCAGCCTGGCTGCAGCCAAGGTGCTGCTTCCTTCCTCAGGGTGCCTGGGGTGAGCAGACTTCCTGTCGAGAAGCACCTGACCTCTCTCTCTAAACCCCCTGTTCTGAGCTGTGCATTTCCTGTGTCTGGCTTCTCTGCCATCGAGCCTCAGTGTCCTGCTTTCCTCCAGTGCCTCAATACCTCCCTCCCTGCTACCACCGCCTTGGCTATGGTGGCCCTGAAGCCAGGCTTAACTCTGTGAATGTAGCTCTGGAAATGACTTCAGAAGCCAAGGTTGATCGCTTTTGCTGTCACAGATGGCCCTCTCCTGTGACATCCGCCAAGGCTTCTCCCTGTAGTGATTACCAGGACATTGATGATGACAGCCACATTCTCTGCTCCTGCAGATGCTGCCCAATCTGATTGCTCTACCCCTGCTTATGTGTCCCTATCCTGATCCTGTCCTTTGTGTTTCTGCAGATTTTGCTGTTAATGAGCTCATTAAGAAGTTGCTCTAATGCCACTTACGTATTTAGTAACTAGAGTTGTCTCATCCTAGTGCTTCAGGAATTACAGTGGATGTGTGTGTGAAATTTTCCTTTGTGCACCGAGTGTCAGTATTCAAAGTGCCCATGCTTCGTGTGTGTGTAGTTAGAGCTGAAAAGAAAGATTTTTAGAAGTAGTGCCTCAGTGTTTATTCAGGATTTCATCCTCTCTCTGTCTGTATCTTTGTCACTTTGTCTGTCTCTCTCTTAATCCTATTTTCTATTTTTCACTTTTTAGAGTATGTTTCTTCAGACAGATTAGTAATGGTTTTAGGTTATTATAATTGGGTGGCAGTTTTATCTTTATATGACATCCTTTATCTGATGTGAGAATTTTTTACCTAAATTAACATTTCATCTCATATGACAGTTTTGTTTTAAAATGTGCTTTTGTAGAATTATAACTTCACTCTGCTCTCTTTTGATCAGTTTTCTATATAATATAACTTTACATATCTGTTCTTTTAGGGTTCTTAGATGTAAAAAGAATCTCCAGTTGAGAGCATATATTTGGAGTCTTTTAGCTTCATTGTTATTAGCTACTTTATTGTTTTGATTAGGAGTTGAATCACTTGTATTTAAAGAAATTACTGAAAGGGAAGAAATTCATATTGCCCCTTTGTTAATTGTTTTCTATTTTTCCTCATTTTTCTTATTGCTTTAATTTTGTGTCACTTCTGTAGAGATGCACCTTGACCCCTGTCTCATTTCCTATTATCTTACAGGGGTCTGTCTGTGTCATTAGCATGGGGGTTCTATGAAAGTACTTTAAATTTAGGGGTTATTTTAAACTGGTAAAATTCAGCTCTGTATCATCACTCTCTGCATCTCTCAGTGTTATATCAGTGGCTTTGGGTCACAGCCATGCTTGCACTGTACACCACCTTCCAGCAGACATCTGTGATGGTTTTTTATGCTTTCACCTCTCAAACTGCATAGCAGACTTAAAGGTGTCTCAGGCACCTTCACTCAGTGGTACAAAATTATTAGTACATTTGCTGGCTGCAGCATTCTGGGTTGGTAGTTTTTATTTGTTCAGCACTTTCCTGATCTTTTCTGGATTTCAAGATTTCTGCTGAGAAATCACCTGGAAATCATGCAGGAGAAGCTCTGTAAGTAACACTTTACTTTTCCTAATGCTCTCAGGGTGGTTCTGTGACTTTTGACACTTTGCTTTTCATGCACATTAGTTTAAATCTCATCTTGTTTATCCCAGTGAGAGATAATTGAGCTTGTTAAATTTCAGTCCCTTTGTTGCCTCATATTTGAGGATTTCTCAGGCATTATTTCTCATTGAATTCTTCAGCCACAGCATTTCTAGTTTTTATGTCTTTGCTAATAGTCTCATTGTCTTGGTTCAGTTTTCTATGTTTTGTTGATCTAATCGGGAATCTTCAACATGCTTGTTTTGAATTTTTAGATAATGCAGATCTTTTGCTTGGTTACCATCTCATGTTTTGTTATCCTGATTAGGCTGTGTAACGTGTGTTGTCTGTTCCGTTACAGCCCTCTTGCTGTAGATCAGTGAAGTTAGCATGGAAAACAGAATGAAAGACCTTGGAAATAGTGGTAGGGAGGTAGTTCAGCTTCAGAGCACTTACCTAGCGTATGTGAGGCTCTGGGTTGGATCTCCAGCCCCACAAAAAAGAAGAATGGAGCAATCACACGACCCAGTAATTCCATGGTGGGCTGTGAAGCCAAAGGGAATTAAATGAGTATATTGAAGAAATATTTCCACTGCCAGGTGTGCTGTATCATTATTCAATACACGAACTCAATCCAATTCTCATCAATACTAGAATGTATAAAGACATGTTACAAAAGCCTTGCCATGTCATTCAGCGTGGGTAATGCAATCCTTGTAGTGAAGTGAAACAAGCCAGACACACATAGTCAACTTGGCATCTTGTTAATATGTTGAGCTACAGAAATTGACCTCAGATATATGAAGTGGTAGCTAAGGGGAGAGTTGTGATGGTGTTGATGGAAAGCAGCAGAACTTCAGTTAACTTGTCATAAGAAGTCCAGGAGATACACTGCATAGCGTGATGATTATAGTTAATATACTGTGTTCTTGAAAAGTGCTATAAAATATAGGTGCTGTTGCAAGCACAAGATGGTAATTATACAAATTATGCTTATATTTATTGGGTTAATTAGCTAGAGTTAGTCATCTGTCATATATATATTTCCAATCATCATGATGTTTATTGTCAGTAAATAGCAATTTGCAAAGCAGTAATTTGTCCCAATCTGTATAGGTTAAGGAACAATCCATTGGACTAGAATACATGTCTTTTCTAGATTTGTGTGTAGTTTTCCCATTAAAAAGATTTACCTGTGTCTTGTCTTAAACCTTAGAGTCTCTCTAGTTGGCTGTATGGGGTACTGCAATCCTCACTTTCTTGGTATAATAATCACTTTCTTCTGTCTCAGCTGTTGTGAAGTCTCATTCAAAATACTCTGAACATCAGAAAACTGATACTGTCAAGACACCCCACAAGTGTAAAGAATGTGGCAAAGCCTTTAGTAGAGGCCCATCCCTGACAAAGCATATGATAGTGCACACCAGGGAGAAACCCTACAAAAGTGAGGAGTGTGGCAAAGCCTTTAACTGCGGCTGCAGACTTACTAAACACCAGAGACTCCATACTGGCAAGAAACCCCACAAGTGTGCAGAATGTGGCAAAGACTTTGATCGAAGGTCTGGGCTTATTCAACACCAGAGACTCCATACTGGCGAGAAACCCTACAAGTGTGCAGAATGTGGCAAAGACTTTGATCGAAAGTCTAGGCTTATTCAACACCAGAGACTCCATACTGGTGAGAAACCCCACAAGTGTGCAGAATGTGGCAAAGCCTTTGATCGGAAGTCTAGGCTTATTCAACACCAGAGACTCCATACTGGCGAGAAACCCCACAAGTGTGCAGAATGTGGCAAAGCCTTTGATCGAAGGTCTAGGCTTATTCGACACCAGACAGTCCGTACTGGTGAGAAACCCTACAAGTGTGCAGAATGTGGCAAAGCCTTTGATCGAAAGTCTAGGCTTATTCAACACCAGAGAGTCCATACTGGCAAGAAACCCCACAAGTGTGCAGAATGTGGCAAAGCCTTTGATCGAAGGTCTAGGCTTATTCAACACCAAAGACTTCATACTGGCGAGAGACTCTATAAACGTGAGAAATGTGGTAAAACCTTTGTTGGAAGCACAAGCCTAACTCGACACCAGAGAGGTCATACTGGGGAGAAACCCTACAAATGTGCAGAGTGTGGGAAAACCTTTGATCGAAGCTCCAGACTTCTTCAACACCAGAGAATTCACACTGGGCAGAAACCCCACAAATATGTGGTATGTGGCAAGACCTTTGACCAAAGCTCAAGCCCTATTCAGCACCAGAGAGTTCATACCAGCAAGAAACCCCACAAGTGTGCAGAATGTGGCAAAGCCTTTGATCGAAGGTCTAGGCTTATTCAACACCAGAGACTTCATACTGGTGAGAAACCCCACAAGTGTGCAGAATGTGGCAAAGCCTTTGATCAAAGGTCTAGGCTTATTCAACACCAGAGACTCCATACCAGCGAGAAACCCTACAAGTGTGCAGAATGTGGCAAAGCCTTTGATCGAAGGTCTAGGCTTATTCAACACCAAAGACTTCATACTGGCCAGAGACCCTATAAATGTGAGAAATGTAGTAAAACCTTTGTTGGAAGCACAAACCTAACTCGACACCAGAGAGGTCATACTGGGGAGAAACCCTACAAATGTGCAGAGTGTGGGAAAACCTTTAATCGAAGCTCCAGACTTCTTCAATACCAGGGAATTCACACTGGGCAGAAACCCCACAAATGTGTGGTATGTGGCAAGACCTTTGACCAAAGCTCAAGCCCTATTCAGCACCAGAGAGTTCATACTAGCAAGAAACCCCACAAGTGTGCAGAATGTGGCAAAGCCTTTGATCGAAGGTCTAGGCTTATTCAGCACCAGAGAGTTCACACTGGTCAGAAACCGTACAAATGTGCAGAATGTGGGCAAGCCTTTAATCAAAGTTCAAGCCTTACTCAACACCAGAGAGTCCATGCTGGGGAGAGACCCTACAAATGGAAAGGATGTAGGAAAGCCCTTGATCAAAGCTCCAGACTTCTTCAATACCAGCTTTCATAGTGTACCCACAAATGTAAGAATGTGGTAAAGCCTTTGCTGGATGCTACCCTGTTAGTTCAGTAAAAGACACCTTGAACTGGAGGTCTCCTCTTAGAAGCTGTCCAGTCACTGACCCCTGGATATAAATTTCCACATTTACTTTTCTGTATGCACAGCTGGGCTCAGATCCACGCTGAAGTCCTTCCTTTGTCAACACTGCTGAGTAAACTCAGTCTTTGCTGCCTTTAACACTGTCCAGGTCACTTCTTGTCAACATCTGTGATTTCTTGATAGTTTTAGATGCAGGTATAAGTAGTCCCCAAATAAGTGCACCTACAGTGGGAGAAATACCAGGCAAGCGGAAGTGTGTGTGATATGTTAGCATACATCCTTCAGTTCTGAGCAGTACTGCACTGCTCAGGTGGGCAGTATTCCTCAGCCAGGTGCTGTGATTTATAGGGCCACACAAAGATAATTGTCCAAATGAGAAATGTTTTTGTTCCTAAGGGTACATACAAAAAGTGATTCTACAAATTCTGTGTGTACACATAAATGGTTAGAATATAGCCAGCACCTCAGTATGACTTGAGAGTGGCAGCTGAGACAATAAAGGTGGCTGGAATGCCAAGCGTGGCATCCCAGCTGGTTATCCCAGCTACTGAGGGGGTGGAGGTAAGGCAGAAAGATCACAAGTGCAGGGTCATTCTGGGAAATTTACCAAGACCCTGTCTTGAGAGATAATATTAAACCCAAAAACATCCCTTCTGATCAATCCCCAGAACTGCCAAAAAACAAAAAGAGCCGCCTTGGTGGCATACGCCTGTAATCTCAGCACTTGAGAGATGGAGGCAGGCAGGCCCTGTGAGTTCGGGGCTACATAAGGAGATTCTGTCTTGAATGAATGAATGAAATAATACATACAATAAATACACAAAGGGTAAGAACTTGCACTTCGTGATTTTGAACTGCACACAAGGAAAGCTGCCGTTGCCACTAGCTGAGAAGTGGAAATGGCTAGAGAGCAGAACCAGGTGATGGCTTCAGTGTGGGGCTTCCTGTGTTTCAGCGCTGTCAGACATGGAGTGTGTGTAGCTCAGTCAGAGTGACAGGCCAGTGTCCAGTGCAGGGCACAGTGGTGGCCACTGCTCATCACAAGAGTCACCAGTTATTTTTTCTTTTCTGTTGTCCAGGTAAGCTCTGAGCTACATTCTCAGCCCTTTGCTTTTTGTGGTCTTTGCTTTCTAGACAGTATCTTGCAAAACTGACCATGCTGAACTGGAACTTGCAAAGTTCTTGCTGAGTAGCTGCTGTGACAGGCCTGTGTTACTATGCCTGGCCCAAAGTGTCACATTTCAAAGGACCCTTAGTTATGCAACAGTTCTGAAAGTCCGTAAAGTTATAATACAGTTCACCCAAGGAGCGGAGAAACTGCCAACAGAAAGGAAAACTGCTTTAACAGTCACATTCTGTTCAGTTTAGGGACCACTGTGTATGGATGTATTTCTTTTAAATTTCAACCCTCTTTCTTTTGAAGTAGGTGGGCATCCCTGGCACAGAATCACTTTCAGAGTGAGGCATGAGGCAGGTGTGGCGGCGCACAGCTGAGAATCCAGCGGCTTGTAGGAGGCTGGGGAGGGGCATGGCAAGTTCCAGCCCAGCTGGCACAACATAGACCCAGTTTCCAAATACACAAGCGCTGTGGCTGTTGCTCAATGAGAAGTTCAGTCCTCAGGAAGCAAAAAGAAGAGGCACGCACACACACATAACACACGGGCAATGTGAATGACAGGTCAACTCCGAACTCCGACTGCAGGAAAAGCTGGGCAGCTGCTTTGGGCGTGTTGCTAGGAGTTGTGGTTGGAGGTCACAGCGGCGGCGATATGTGATTGGCTGGGAAGCACGGTGGGCAGGGTACCTGAGCGCTGGCCGTGGCCAGCTAAGGTGTGGCAGAGACCTAGCGCTGGGAGCTATCCGGAGGCCGGAGGCCAGGAGACTAAGGGATAACTGGCAGGGGCTTGGGCGCTCCCGGATGAAGCAGTGGGGTGGGGCCACTTCTAGCCCCTGAACCCCAGTGTGGGGCTCCCTCACCCTCTGCACCTGGCGGCCCAAACTGTGGCAGAGGAGCTGGTGCTGGGGATCTGCTCGGCGACCCTGACTTTCACATTTTTGCTCTGGCCTTTTTCTGTCTCTGGTTTTTCAGGTCTCTCTTTGCCTCCTGGTTTTTAGAGGTAAGCAGCTGTGTTCTGCCATGCCCTTCCAAAACCCTGTGCCTTGCAGGTAGCTCTGCGTGGATTGAATCACCAAAACAGCCTAAGCAACCCATTTCTCCTTTCAGTTGTGTGTTTCACGTGCTTTGTCCCAGCAGTGGAGAAGGTGACTGGCACACATTAAAGCTCCTCTAAAAAAAAAAAAAGTTAAGTTTCAGTGTGTATGCAGTTCTGTGGAATTCAGTGTGTATGTCAGTTCTGTGGTCTTGAATTGGCATTTTTAACAGATTTTCTGTGATTGCAAATCTAGAGAAATCCAGGATCCCAATCCTTGATTTCTGGACTCATGAATCATGCCCATAAAAGAAACAGTGCCATATATTGGTTGCTGATTTAAGGCACCTACAGCCTTCTGTTACTGCCACCCTGCTGGCTCTGTAGTTGCATTGCCTAGTGGCTATTCCACCACTCTTATCAATCCAGCTGCTATTAGAAGATGGGAAACATGGTAAGACGAATAAATTCTATGAGCCTGAGCTCTTTGCCACACATTCTTGCCCGTGAAGTGTATTTCCTGGTCGGAAGCTATGCTGTGTGGAATGCCATCCTGATGGATGGTCTTCTGTAAGTCCATCAACAGCAACGTTGACAGAGCATTATGTGCAGATAAAGAAAATCCACACGTGGGTTAAGTGACTGTTTCAGCAAGGACACAGGGATAACCTTCCCATGACAAAAGTGGTCTAATGTGATCAAATGGTCAGCCGGCCTCAGGCCTCAGGGCAGTGGGGCTTTATCCAGGGCTCACAGGTAGTCTCTGGTACTGGCAGATCAAGCATCTAGCAGTGCAGTAGTCAGGTCAGCCTTGGTGAAAGCCGGTATTGCTGAGCCCATGCACATACTCCATCCTTGACACCATGGGCTCTTTGTTCATTGGCCAGTTAGGGTGTTGGCTGAGGAAGGCAGTAGACTGCTACCCACGGAAGGGGCTGCCTTATACAACTGATTAAAGTCCTCTTCTGCAGAGGCGATCATTTTGTGAGCATTTACATGGGGCAAAAATATCTTTGCATCATTTCACCACATAGGTCCATCCACATACCTCTTCCCCAAATTTCCTTGTCACCAAATTTCTTATCACATTCCTTCCAAGTCCCTGACCATCAAGCAGCTCACTGGCTACAGCCCATGAATTGACATATAGTCACATGTTTGCGCGCCCCCACCCAGAACGTCTGTCATCAGATGGATGACCTGAGGGTCTTAAGTGTGCAGGATTTCCCTCACCACTGTCCTTAGGCCTGTCATGGAAAGGTGCTATCCATTTTTGGGCACTGCCTGCAGAATGTTCAGAACCATCTGCAAGACTGCATCTCCTAGACTTCTCTTCCTCTATCAGCTGATCATAGGGTTCACTCAGTGAAGCCACAGGTGCATGCTGGGGACAGAAGGCACTATAAATGGAGTAGGAACTCTAGGCATGGGGCATTCCTTTATACTGTGTATTGACAGGATCTGCTTTGGCCCGATCATGTATATACCACTTTTGTTTGAGGATAGGCTGTTGCCACACATGTCTAACACTATGACTTGGTGGGCAGACAGTACGTACCCAGTTACTGATGGATAGCTTAGGGACTGGTACACAATGGTCAAACATTCAGTTTCTGGCAGGGTGCGGGTGGCACACTCCTATAATTCCAGGGCTCAGGAGGCTGAGAGGCATGAGGATTACCATAAATTCAGCCTCAGCTACACAGTGAGCTCAAGGCCAGCCTGGATTACAGAGTGAGATCCTGTCTCAAAACAAAAACAAAAAATACAAACATTCAGTTTCCACTAAGTAGTGGGCAAGGAACCACTACTTCAAGGGAGAGTAGTTGTTTGCAGATGATGTTAGGGATGGGCTGCAATGTCCCAAAAGTCTCCACTGTGATTCAGATGTGTGTCCTACCAGCAGCTCCCAAGAGCTTCCCTGTGTGCCACTGTATGTTTCAAGTACCATGGATCTGCTGGGCTGTTTGGCCCAAGTAGGAAAGCAACCTGCACAGCAGCCTCTTCATCTTAGCATCACTCAAAACTAGCATATTTGGAGATTTTTATAAATTACACACCAAAGTGAGGAAAATGCAAATAGGTCCAAAAGGTGTTATACCTCTTTCTTGGTTGCAGATGAGGCTCGATGCAATAATTTAGGCTTGTGTTAGAAGGAATAACTATGTGTCCCCGTCCACTAGACTCCTGAAGATTCTCTAGGCCTTCTCAGGATAGATGATTAAGTCTGAGCTGGAAAGGGCACTCCACCCTGCCTGTTTCTCTTAGCCTTTGAATACTCTCATCAGCAACAATCCAAGGAATATCAGGAATTTCCAACTAACAATATTACAGGAAAAATTGAGTCAACAGTAGCCAGGAGCTCAGGAGAAAAAAGGAAACTTTATTGACACTAGTAGACCACTTTATTTAACAAAATGGCTGCAGATAGGTCAGGATTTCTGCTTCAGTAGGGGTCATTTTTATTCTTATTTCAGCAACCAACCAATAAACTGTTGGAAACATTTTTTAAACTCATAAGCTGTGGTGTTAACTTCAGGATATCCCCTTAGTGGGCCCATATAAAGAAACTCACTTTGGTCCAAGTTTATGTCTCTTCCTCCATTATCCCACAGTGAAATCTGGGAGTACAGCCTATCTCCTCATGAACAACAACTCTATGTACCTCACCTTTAAGAGCCTTCTGAGATTGAAGCTTGATTGTATGGGTGGACAACAAGGGTGAGTTCTCAGATACTTTGGCTGGCATTTTCTTGCTCAGTAACTGTGTCAGTGAAGGGTATTACTGTTTCCAATGCAGAAGTAGTTTTCTCAAGCAGAACTGATAGACCAGGCAGAATTGATAGAACACAGAGGGCGAGCATGGCAATTTCTCTAGCATTGAGGACTGAGAAATCTCTTCCTCTGGTAAATTAATGTCAGTATTTAGTTCAGTTTCCCCAAGTTCTTCCAGTTCCTCCCAAACATTCTCATCCAAAGCCATGGAAT